GCGGGAGGGCTGCTGCGGGCCAAGCCGGGCGGGGCGAGCGCACGCTGGTGGCGAGCGAGAGGGTGGCCGGTAGTCGGGCCTCCGCCTCCTCCTCGACTACTACTCTCCTTCCTGGACTGTGGGACCTCTCTGTTCCTTCTCACGGTCACCTCAGAGCCAACAGGCGCGGGGCCGGCTCATTGTGTCCGCCATCTTGGGGCGACAGGCAGAAGCTGAGGGCGAGGAGCCTTATTCGCGGCGCACGCCGGGAAAGGGGGCAGGGCGAGGTAGGCGGGGTGGTGACGTCATGCAGTCGCCGCTGGGTGCTACCGCTGGACGGCGGGAGGCCGCGGCGCCCTTGGGCCAGGGATAGTCGACCCCTGCCTACTTCTCCAGGGGGCGGGAAGCCTGCGGCGTTGCCCTGGAGCCCAGAGCTACTTTGCATGATTACGAGCTCTAGTGAGATTCAAGCGCCGCCCAGAACTCTGGTTGTGCGGAAGTCGGAACGCTCCTGGAGGCTTGTTCTGAGGGTGTGAATCTGTGCATTTACTTGATCGCTTGCTCTCCACTTCATCGCTGCCCTAGCATAGAGAGCCTCGATTTATTTATTATATATCTATTTATTTATTTAGAGGCAAATAATAAATTTGTCGCCGTGCAGTTTAAGCTGGTCTTGAGTTCACTCCGCAGCCTAGGCTGGCTGTGAACTCCTGGCGGTCCTTCTGTCTCAGCCTCCCAAGTGCTGGGATTGCAGGAGTATGCGCCACCACACCAGGCTTCGGTTTATTGTTGTTTTGAGGACTAAAACAGTCTTCAAATTTTACGTGGATGAATATTTAAATTCTAATATACTGTATACCCTTATGACCACTACCTAGGGCTTTATGCTTTAAAAACTTAAAAGCTCACGAGGCAAAACAATTTTCAGTGTACAGCTCCATACATTTTAATAAATGTAACAAACATTTTAAGTTGTAAAATGTATTTATAGGGCTGGAGGCATAGCTCTGAGAGAGTGTTTGTGGAGCCCATGAGCTGAATAAGCTCAGCCCCCAGCATCCTAAGAACAAAAGTATGTACAGCCCCAAATTCATAGCCTTAAAGCATCACTTAAAAGGAAACGGTGTGTGAGAGATTGAACAGGCTTTTGTAAAACACAGTTTATTTCATCCCGTGGGGACAGCTGAGATCTGGAAAGATGTCAACCCCTGACCAGAGAAGAGGCAGGGTAATATAGGGCTTAGGGAGGGTACTTTTCCGGGAAAATTTCAGGGTGTAGGATGCCAGTGCTAAGGTTCACTGAAAGGTCAGAAGGGTCGGGCAGCTGTGTAGAGACACTCAGGCTCCTGCGCTGGGGAGATCGCCCTCCTGTCCAGGCCTTATCTTTATGGCCTTCTACTATGTCCATTAGTGGGTTCCTGTTGTTTACTGAGAATGGGATGTTTGCTGATAGGGTCTTACCTGGATCAGGCCTGACAGTATCCTCTCATTCAACAGACTACGATTTTAAATTCTGATTTCGTCCTCATTATTCACACACACACACACACACACACACACACACTTTATACAGTCAACTCCTTTCCTTCTGCCTTAATGTTTTATACATTTTCCCATGTTAGGAAACTGGATTGTGGTTGCTGCTCTTAATGGAGGAATAATTTGCATACAATAAAAATCAGCCCTTTTTAAGTGGATAGTTTTTTTCTGATATCTGTCTATATACAATCATTCAACCACCACATTCAGTGTATAGAACAGAGGACTAATGCTGGGAATGATACATGTATGCACAAGTCCAAATGAAACCCATTATTCTGTATAATTAATAAATTTACATGGGGGCCGGGGTGATGGCTCAGTGATAAAAGAGAAATGACCCAGTGATAAAAGAGATTCTTCACCTTAAAAGGAGGGAAAATTGATCCCTAACAAAGGAAGGCAATTCCGGATCAGGTTAAGAGCCATATTTCCTAGGTTAACCTGTGTGAGAAAGAGTTAAACCTCCTGCAACCTATGTAGGGTCATACATCCCTGCCTTGTATGCAAACCTTCAAAAGGTTACTTGCATGAGGTCAGTGACGGTACAGAGGGTACCTATTCATTTTTGTTTCATTTAAGAAAGATTGCAAAGCATTTTGATCACTGATTTGAGAAAGATGTGGTATCCAGAGATCCATCAAAACCTGAACAATGGTGAGAGAGAGAGAGAGAGAGAGAGAGAGAGAGAGAGCTGTAATCCTAGTACTCTGGTAGGTTGAGGTAGAGAGATTGCAAATTTGACTGTAATCTGGGCAATTTAGCAATTTAGTTCCTATCTCAAATCAAAACACAAAGAACTGGGGATGTACGAGTGAAGGCCTGGGGTTTGGTCCCTAATACAGAAAAAAAGGGGATGCTAGGGTTCTTGGGGTCTCCCTAGGAAGAGCAAGGGGCTGTGTCCCATCCCCTTAGGTAAAAGGAGAACTAGGATTCCTACACATAAAGAGAAGTTGTTCTCCAAGGGAAGAATAGGTGAGAGTCTAGCTAAATCTGGATTGCAGTTACCTTCTGTGAAAGACCAGAGCTTCTGGCTACAGTTTATTATTCTGGGGGTCTGGAAAAAGCCAGCTTGACTGAAACCTGAAGGAATGGCAACTTTCCAAATTGCAAAGAAATGGAAGAAAAGTTTTCTACCCCGCAGAGTGCTCACTTCCCTGTAATTCTAGAGGGTATAAAGGGTGATGTAAAGTGGTTTAAGTCTTTTGTGTGTGTGTGTGTGTGTGTGTGTGTGTGTTGTTGTTGTTGTTGTTTGTTCGGAACCAGGGATTGAACTCAGGCCCTTGTGCTTGCCAGGGAAGCACTTATTCTACTGAGCCATCTCCCTGGCCCCAGCTTTAAATCTTTAGATGCCAGCTAGGACAGATCTGATGCTATGGTGGAGCTGTGTGAACTGAATTTCTCTAAAGAATACATAGCTCTGTTGAAGATCCTGTGAATTATTCTGGGTGATTAGAATACTATGACTGTAGAGACATAGAGTACTGTAGATCATCTAGTGCGGAAATGATTGTGAACTACTTTAGGCCCTTTATTAGCTAGTTACTTAGCTCTTGTATCAAAAATAGTATTCTTTTTATTTCACTATAAATTTTAATTTATAATATAAAATGTTAAAGGCACATTAGAAAACAAAATATAGCAATAAAATTCCATTTTGTTAATATTTCTGTGGAACAGAGATTTCCTTCAGACCTAACCATATTGCATTTTGTTTGCCACACTATCACAGCAAACTTGTGTAAAGAACGCACATTAAGTTTGTTAAAGTGATTGGCACAGGCGTACTGTTTCAAAGAATATTATATTTACTTATTCAGTGAATGCACTTCAGTTACTGCTAAGGTCTTTGTGTGGAATGAAGCATAATACCCCACATTCCCCCTGATGTTGTGGTTTCCTTCTGTAGTAACCTCAGGGACCAATGGACACAGAGGGTGTGGGAAGACACCACTTTAACTCTATTAAGATAATTGGGCTGGGGAGATAGCTCAGTGACATAAATGCCTGTCTGTAAGGGCAAGGTCCCAACTTCCATCCCTGGTACCACTTGCCTTGCCAGCCCTAGAATCAAAAGCCTGGTGGAATACACCTGTAGTCCCAGCACTGGGGAGACTGAGACAGGAGAACCACTATGAGTCTCACCAAATTACCCAGGTTGGGCTTCAACTAGCAGTCTTGCTGTCTCAGCATCACTGATGTAGGGATCAAGGTCTGGAGGCAGGCAAGAGCCTCATTAGGCTTTATGAAAGAAATTAGTGGAAAATCCTACTAAAAACAGCTTTTGCCTCTACAGTTAGATTCACTGGCTAATTCTAACTAAAGGAGTTGAAACTTGACCAGAGGCATTCCTTTAGGAGTGACTAAAAGGACAAAGGCAGAGGGAGAGGGAAAAAATAAAACAAACCAGATATAGAAGCCACCAAACAGCACAAATAACGTAAGAATTAACAACAAAGAAAGGAACGCTCTCTAATGGAGAGATTCACCAGAGGAAGAACTGATGGGCAAAGCGTAGAGAAGGCCACAGCACAGGAAAAGGTTAACCATCCTCTCACACCGCCAATAAAGTACAAGGGAGAAAAGGTGGGCAGCTACCTTATTTATTGACCTTATTTATTTATTTGTTTGTTTTAGGAGTAGGAAAAATTTATTGAAAGAAAGTTTCTGTCTGAGAGGGACAGTGGGGGCCTGGAAAGTGGGTTGCCCCACCAACCTTGCTTCTCAAAGGTGTTTCATTGAGTAAAGCCACAAAGTGATGTGGGCTTAAGGTGGGACTGAACTATAACCAATCAATAAGATTATAAGTATAATAGCTTAGGTAGTATTGATCCAATGGCAAATCATAGGATGGGTGTAAGGTGGAACAAAACTATAATCCTCCCTTTTTTTTTTTTTGTGGAACAGGGGATTGAGCTCAGGCCCTTGCATGTGCCAGGGAAGCGCTTATTCCAGTGAGCCATGTCCCCGGCCCCAAAACTATGATCAACCAATAAATATACAGCAAATATAGCCGCTAAGGTAATGTTGATGAAATTGGAATCAAGTGGGGAAACAAGTTGCTGAGCAAGCACACATGAGAACAAGAACTTTGTTGGAAGGGGTGAGTTAAGATTCAGTACTCTACCCCAGGATGATTGATGTGTACTTAGAAGATCAATCACTTCTGCCTAGGAGAAATAGAGGGGTCAGTAGTTCTTTTTCTTGAAGCTTGGCCTTCAGTGAATGTGCTTCCAGCCACAGTTGTCTTCTACATTGACCTCTCAAGGGCTCAGTCCCGTCTGACTGCTTCCAATATTTCTACCTAACCTAGTTATCTATAATATTCCCCCCTCTAAAGAAGTACCCCTAACTGCCAGGTGAGATCAAGGGTAAA